ACTTTCTCTTCTAAGGCCACTAAGACTAGCCTTAATCTATAACTAGGCCTACAGCTCACGTTCGAAGTTTTAATTTGTGATTTCTAGGCTTAAATTTTAGTTTTTAAGCACTTGATGTTTGTTTGTATGATGAATAAGAGTACAAATTCCAAGTGCTCACAAAATGCCCTGGGGGTTAGAAAAGTGGCTAGGAATAAGAATGTTTTAAAAAACAGAGTAATAACGACTTTTTGGGTATCTTTCTTCAAACGTTGGAAGAAAGGAAAGAAACGTAGACTTTAAGAAAAATTTGGGGGGTCTTTAGGTATAATCAGCCTTAATGGGTATGAAATTTGAAAAAAATTGGGAAAATTGGTATAAGAGTGGCTTTACAGACATGTGTGTGTATGTGGATATGAGTATAGACATATATATGATTGGGTTGTATTTATATGTATGTATGTTAATTACGTCATAAAATTGTGTCTAAAAGTGCAAAAAAAAATTTTTTTTTGAAATTTAGGTAACAAAAAGTGTCATTTGTGACATTTTTGGGTGGGTTTTGAGGATAAAAGTACATACATGTTACTACAGAACGTATATGAATACATGTTGTTATAGGTAGGGCTATACATGATATTCCTTGACCTTTATGAGCTCAGTATTAGTTTTTATTGATACTGTAGGGAAAGATAGGGTAGGGTAGGATAGGGTAGGGTAGGTACTGCGGTTATATTTATATAAAAGCTACAAACATTGTATACTTGCAGCAACTACCTGTAATCAAAAGTAAATGGCGTGATGCAGAGTACGAACGTAATTACCAGTTCTGTACTTTTATTATTTTCAGCAAAACTTATTTGAAGAAATGTCATATCATACGTTAAAGGGCTATTTTAATAGGTTTTTAAAATTAAAATTCAATTTTGTCTTGACTCAAAAATAAAATTTAGGCTTAATAATGACAAGATAGATAAAAAAGAAAGGTTTAGGTTTAAAAATGAGTTTTAGGAATAAATGTATATTTTTAGGTTTATAATGAAGTGCTAAGTTTAAAAACTCATTTTAGGCTTAATAATGACATTTTGGGCTTAAATATTTTTATGTTTTATACGTTTCAGGCTTGAGACTATGCTTAGGCTTAAAAAGTTGAAAAAATTGCCTTCTTTTGTTTTAAAATGGTTAGGCATCCATGCCAAGCCCTATACATACCAGAGCCTAGCCTAGAAATCTAGACTAGAGCCCTAGCCTAGAGTCCTAGTCCAGAGACCTAGGCCAGAGCCTTAGCCCAGAGCCCTGGCGCAGAGCCCTAGCCCAGAGCCTTAGCCTAGAGCACTAGACCAGAACCTTAGCCCAGAGCACTAGGCCAGAGCCTTAGCCCAGAGCTCTAGCTCAGAGCTTCAGCCCAGAGCCCTAGCCTAGTCCTCGTCTTAGCCTTATCTTTACAATGGCTAGACACCTATGACAACATGTATTGTACTTTATGTCGGTAAACACAAGCACAGGAATCGTACCGTGACTTTTAATTCGCTGGGATTACCTGAGGGCCTTAAAAACGGCGTCGCGGTAATCCTTGGAAATCGCGGATTACATTTAATTGTCACCCAAATCCCACTTTACTTTGCGGTAAATTGTAATGCATTTGAGGTGTGAAATATTACTGGCTACTGTTTTACTCGGCTTATTACTTTTTTTTCGAGGTTGGGATCGTACTATACGGGTAGGAGATGTGGTAAGGTAGAGCAATTTAGTGATTGGTGTAGGGTAGGGTAAGGTAAAGTAGGATACGGTAGGGTAGGGTAAAGTAGTGTTAGGGTGGAGTAGGATAGGGTTAAGTTTGGTAGAGTATGCGGTTTGTACTCTTGCCTTGTCTAGGCATCAAAGTTTATATTAATTGTAAAAATTCAGAACATTCTGTAAAAAATTGAATGTCTTTTACGGATAAATGCACTTTTACTATAGCAGTAACCGTTACATGTGTAGACTGCGTAAGGTGCGGACGTCACGGTACAACACGCAATGCATGTGATTTTGCTGTCTTGGGCCTACTTTTAAGAATTGATGGTTTAATAATACTTCTTAAGTTCATTTTTAAGCTTAAACTTCACTTTTGAGCCTAAATTTCATTTTTAAGCCTAAAATTTCATTTTAAGCTTAAACTTTTATTTTTAAACCTAAAACTTTGTTTTTAAGCCTAAAATCTTATTTGTAAGCCTTAACTTTTATTTTAAAGCTTAGAGTTACTTTTTAAGTCTAAAATTTTATTTTTATGTCTAAAATGTCATTTTTAAACCAAAAAAATTATTTTTTGCCTAAATTTCATTTTTAAGCTTAATATCTTATCTGTAAGCCTAAACTTTGATTTTTAAGCCTAGGGTTAATTATTAAACCTAAAATTTCATGCTTAAGCCTAAAATCTTATTTGTAAGCTTAAAATGTCATTTTTAAACCGAAAAATTCGTTTTTAAGCTTAAACTTAAAAATTAAGCCTGAAATTTACTTTTCTACTTTATTGTCATTAACCCCTTTATTTTATGGCCAAATTTTCTACTTTTTCTCCCCATGTGCCAAAACGTGTACATACCTGTGGGAAGGTCATTAATGTGTCGCCGTAGCATGTAAGCGTGGGTAAAATCTGTCTTTCACACTACACATGACCTTTTTCACTACACCTTTACTTTCTTTTGTCACTTTTTTTAAAAGAAAAAAGGTTTTTTGGCCGAACATGTGGCCAAGTTTGTCAATGAACTTGCTCCTTTGTTATTGCTTTGTTTTACCACGGGTTTGACGTAAAAAGTGTATTTTTACATTTTCAATTATGTTTTTACTCTATTGTTGACTTTAATCTATATGAGCTGATTTTGGAAACAAAGTTTTTGCAAAGTTTGTAATTTTGATTGAAAATCAATGATAAGTGCAAGATTTTTGGTGCAAATCATATTACAAATTTTTTTGCAGGCTGCAGGTGACAAGTTATACGATGAGTATCTAAAATTTATGCGTTTACGTTTTGTAAAGAAAGTTTTTGCTATTTTGTGTATTGTAAAGAAAGTTCTTACCATTTTATGGTTTGTAAAGAAAGTTTTTGCCATTTTTTGTTTTGTAAAGAAAGTTCTTGCCATTTTGTGCTTTGTGAAGAAAGTTCTTATCATTTTTTGCTTTGTAAAGAAAGTTTTTGCTATTTTATGTTTTGTAAACAAAGTTATTGCGTTTTTATTGAGGTGGTAGCTTTTCTATAAATTTTGTTGTTTGCAGCCTGTAGATGACAAGTTATACGATGGGAGATTGATGTTTTATGTTTTGTAAAGAAACTTTTTGGAATTTTTTGTTTTGTAAAGAAAGTTTTTGCCATTTTTTATACTGTAACGAAATTTTTTCTCTTTGGTGATTTGGAAACAAACTTTTTACTGTTTTATGTTTTTTTTTGTATTTCAAAGACCAAATTATAAAATTTTTGTGTTTTGCAGTCTGCGGTTGACAAGTTATACGATAAATAGGATTCTTTTGATTTTTAAAACGTTTAAGAAATTGAAACTTTAAAATTGGTGCCAAAATTTTTAAATTTAAAAAACTGTTGTAACGAAAGTTTCTTCCAACTACAGTAGCATTTCGGCATTTCCTGTCACATTTCATCGTACTTTAGCCCAAAAAACTCGCCAAAAAGCCGAAAATTAAAAAATTTCGAGGCGAAATTGCGTGCTCAATCAACTCACCTTTGTATTTACAATCCGCGAGTTTAAAGTTGTAAAGGTGTGTAAGCGAGTCTTACTTTACGCCCATTTTACATCTGTCGCCGCGAGGTAATCGGCCCATGTTAATATGCCCTAATTCGGTTATTTTGTCAAGGGTTTTCGGAATGTCAAAGGGCTTTGATTGTATACTCACTACTATTATATGTCTCGCTATTATGTCTGTTTTGGTTGGTTTGAGGGGTTGATTGAGTTATATAGTGGGACTCTTGTATAACGAAATTGCATGCGGGTTTTAAATTTGTTTGTTATGAAGGAGTTTTGTTATAGAGGAGTTTTAAATGCGCTTTTGCTGTTATCTAGTGATTTTAAATTGGTTTGTTGTAAAATCATTATGGAGGGCATTTTGTGGATTTTTAAAATTTTTTGTTAAATTGTCTGTGTAAAGTTATTCACAGAAGGGATTTAATTTTTTTGTTGCAATTCTAGGGCTTTAGCGTTAATTGTAGCACTAGTTCTAAACCTAGTTTCAGCCCAGAGACCCAGCTCAAACCCTTTGTTCAAAGCCTTAGGCCAGAGCCCTAACACTACTCCCAGCCTTATTCCAAGCCCTAGGTTTAGTTTTAGACTTTGTCTTAGCTCTACCTCTAGCCTCTTAGCCTGAGACTTAGTTTTAGCTCTAATCCAGGGGTGTCGCTAAGTGGGGGTGGATCCACCCCTCACCCCCGAAAAAATCGGTAGCGACGCTTTTGCTCCAATCATAACTTCAGGTTCATCTTTAATCCTAGTTATAGGCCTTTTGTAGCTCTAGCCTTAAATTTGGTTATACTTTGCGTTGCCGTACCTTTTTTTTACTCTTGTCTTATTTAACTTTATAAATTTGCGTTTTAAAAAATTTTTTTATTTTTTTATAGGCTTGGTCTTCTTCTTGCTTTATAATGGTATTGCTTTTATTTGAATTTGCGTGCTCATATTATCTTCAATGAAAATGTTTACATAGTTTCTTTATTTTCATAGGTATTTAGAGTTTTTGTAGGGTGAACTTCAAACAACAAGATCTTAACACACTTTGAAGTACTAACAAAACTGTTCAAACCATCTGGTACACCACTCAATTTTATATTTACTTTTTACTACTCATTAGTACATGGGTGCCCTTTGAAACAACATCAACATTGAATTTGCCATCGTTATTGCTAGTATCATTGTAGTATTTACTAAAGTGCACCTGGGACAAGGACAATATCAACCAAATACGTGTTCTCTAAAAGCTTGATTATTGGTCGTAGTTCACTTTACATAGCCTACAAGATACGACGATAGCGCGACAAAATGGGCGCGTTGACGAGTAGTTGTCAGTCGGAGGAGGTCCGAGAGCAAATGGCCAAGAGTAGGGCCATTGAGAAGCAGTTGAATCAAGACAAACGAGCTGGGTCCTCTATTATCAAGTTGTTGTTGTTAGGTAGGTAAAGTACGATATTATTGTGGGATTTCTGCGTAAGGAATTGCTTTTTAAAGAAAGTTTTTGCCATTTTTTGTTTTGTAAAGAAAGTTCTTGTCATTTTTTAGTTTGTAAAGAAAGTTCTTGCCATTTTTTGTATTGTAAAGAAAGTTATTGCCATTTTTTGTTTTGTAAAGAAAGTTCTTGTCATTTTTTAGTTTGTAAAGAAAGTTCTTGCCATTTTTTGTATTGTAAAGAAAGTTATTGCCATTTTTTGTTTTGTAAAGAAAGTTCTTGCCACTTTTTGTATTGTAAAGAAAGTTATTGCCATATTTGGCGCATAGAATGCTTTTTTTAGGCTAGCAGGCTGCGGGGGACAATTTATACGATCGATATTGTAGTAAAAAGATTTTTTTGATTGTAAAGAAAAATTTTTGCTTTTTTTCGATTTGTAAACAAAGTTTTTGCCATTTTTTACTTTATAACGAAAGTTTTTGCTACTATTTGAGTTAAAAACGATTTTTAACTGAAAAATATAAAGCACAAACCACGCTGATAACTCTAAACAAAACTTCTGCTACTCAACGTATTATAATCTTGCAATCTTTTGATGATTGACATTTACATTGTTTAAATGCCAATTCAAAACATTGGCGGTAATTAGCCAATTTTTGTAATGATTAACTGTTAAGGCCAATAATTACTCAGTAAATCTTTTAATTGTATTATTTTGACTGCTTCTAAAGTGCCCTAATTGCAACATTGTGACAAAATTGTCTCGCCTACTTGAAATGTTGAATATTTTTTAATTATAATAAAACGTTGTGAAAACTTTTACAAGTTTCAAAATGGCAAGAACTTTCTTTAAAAAACAAAAAATGGCAAGAACTTTCTTTACAAAACATAAAATGGCAAGAACTTTCTTTACAAAGATTAAATTAACTAAAACTTTCTTTCCATAACAGAAAATGGCAAAAACTTTCTTTTCAAAACATAAAATGGCAAGAACTTTCTTTACAAAGCAAAAAATGGCAAGAACTTTTTTTTTAAATTTCAAAAAAGTTTTTCTGCTTATAACTTGTTGCTCGCAGTCTACACGTTACACGTTTTGCAAGTCAAATCGTTTGTTGCGGGGCCTAGACTGTTTCTTTAATGTCTTACTGTTAGTTTGGGCTCCGGCTTTACGCGTGTCGGCCTTGTCTTTTTCAAATATGTCTTGGCCTGACCTAGCTTTTCCTAGGGTTTGGCGTGCAGGAACGGGTCTAGTGGGTTTACTTTTAGGTCTGGTACTGCATACTAATGAAAAAAACGCAACAAATTTTGAAAAAAAAATTTTTCGTTTTAAATTTTAATTTTTCAATTCTTCCAGGAGCCGGAGAATGTGGCAAATCGACAGTCCTAAAACAAATGCAGATTCTCCACTCAAACGGCTTTACCGAAGAAGAGATAGCCGAACGGAAGGCCGTAGTCTACTCCAATACCGTAACCTCGATGGCAGCCATTCTTCGTGCCATGGACAACGTATTACATATACCGTTGGAGGATTCGGCACGCGAATCCGACAAACAGATTGTGTACCAAGTGGTCGAAGCGGGCCAGGAACAGGCCGCCTTCAGCGATGAAGCGGCCAAAGCACTGATAAGCTTGTGGAATGATAAGGGAGTGCGAAAGGCCTATGATATGAGGTCCGAGTATCAGTTGAACGATTCTGCTAAATAGTAAGTTTAGTTTTGTACAGTTTAACAAAAAATGGCAAGAACTTTTTTTACAAACCAAAAAATGACAAGACCTTTTTTTACAAACTAGAAAATAGCAAGAACTTTCTTTACAAACTAAAAGATGGCAAAAACTTTCTTTACAATACTAAAAATAGCAAAAACTTTTTTTACAAAACAAAAAAATGGCAAGAACTTTCTTTACAAGACCAAGCAAGACCAAAATTTTTAAAGATTCATCGTATAACTTGTCCACTGCAGCCTGCGAACCAAAAACTTTCTAGAAAAGCTATTACCTCAATAGAAACGGCAAGAACTTTCAATACAAATCAAAAAATGGTAAAAACTGTCTTTAAAAGTAGTCTTTTGAAGTAATATATACGTACGGTCACCTTTTTGAACGAGAAAATCTATCTTACACTGTGGTTAAAAAACAATATAGTTTTATGGCCTCGAGGGGTTAATAATCGTTTTGTGCAAATTGCAACCTTTAAACTTGCTTCTTTTTGGTTTTACTGCCATTTGTAAAGTTGTTGTTTGGTCAAAAAGTTGTTAGAATTTTTTTTTGTTTAATATTAATATAGTTATTACCAGCGTTTCAAAAATTTGTAGTATTGTAGGGTTTAAAAAGTCTTGTCGTCGATTTGCATTGAGTTGCACGGTCAAAAACGACAAGACTTTTTAAAATCTTCATATTTAAATTTAAGGCCATAAAAATTAAAATCCACGTTATTTTTGTATTTTTAACGTTTTAAAATGCTCTTTTTTCAGCTTCCTAGACTCAGTATCACGAATACACGAACCCGGCTACAGACCCTCCGAACAGGATATCCTCTACAGTCGTGTAGCCACAACCGGCGTTGTTGAAGTCAAGTTCAAAATCAAAGACTTGGACTTTCGAGTGTTCGATGTGGGAGGTCAGAGGTCGGAACGTAGGAAATGGATTCATTGCTTTGATAACGTGGAATCGATCATCTTCATCACGGCTGTCAGCGAGTACGATCAAGTGCTGTTTGAGGATGAAACCACGGTAGGTTGTTGGAATTTTTTGATGAGTTGAGTTGAGAAGTATTTGGAGGGTATTATTTTTTAATTTAGTTGTCAGAAACTAGTAATTTATTATATGTTGGGCAAAATCTTGTGAAAAAGCGATTTTTAAAAGTTTTATGTACATAGAATATTTATTTTTTAACCTTTTTCTTAGCCGCGTCAAAAAGATTGAACTTTTTTCCTATACAAATACATTAAAAATCGATCAATTTTTTTTGGCGCGCTTTAAAAACTTGGCATTTAAAGTTGAAAATAATGTCATTTTAAGTAAGATACGATAAAATATAACATTTTAAATCATTTACAACAAGAATATTACCATTTCCAATAAATTGAATCAAAAATAATGTCATTTTAAACAAGTTATGGCAAATATTAGGTGCCGACATAAACAACCCGCCATACTTTACATGTAATTTCCTGAAAAAAATGGCGGGTTCTATATGTCAGCATTTAATATATGACATTTTAAATAAACTATGACATTTTTCATTTACAGAACCGAATGGTGGAGTCGATGCAACTGTTCAGTTCAATTTGCAACAGCTCCTGGTTCCTAAACACTGCGATGATATTGTTCATGAACAAAAAAGATTTATTCGCCGAGAAAATCCAACGAGTTAACATTACCACCTGCTTCCCGGATTATGAAGGTAAGCTCTTGCCATTTTATGGTTGTAAAGAAAGTTCTTGCCATTTGTTGGTAAGTAAAGAAAGTTTCTGCCATTCTGTGATTTGTAAAGTACGTTCTTGCGATTTTTCGTTTTGTAACGAAAGTTATTACAGTTTTTTGATTTGTAAAGAAGGTTCTTGCCAATTTATGGTTTGTAAAGAAAGTTCTCGCCATTTTTTCTTTTGTAAAGAAAGTTCTCGCCATTTTTTCTTTTGTAAAGAAAGTTCTTGTTATTTTTTGCTTTGTAAAGAAAGTTCTTGCCATTTTTTGATTTGTCAAGAAAGTTCTTGCCATTTTTTGTTTTGTAAAGAAAGTTTTTGCAACTTTTTGTTTGTAAAGAAAGTTCTTGCCATTTTTTGTCATGAAGGAAGCTTTTTTTCAAATTTTGAAGGCTTGCAGGCTGCGGGAAACAAGTTATACGATTGATAAGGAAACTTAAAGATTTTTTGTTTTGTAAAGAAAGTTTTTGCAATTTTTTGTCAATTTTTAGGCTTCGAATGAAAACTTTTTAAATAATTTTACATTTTGTCATTCCAGGCGGCCAAAACTACGACGAAGCGATAAACTTTATCAAAATGAAGTTCGCCGAACTAAACCAACACCCGGACAAGAAGACGATCTACATGCACGAGACGTGCGCCACCGACACGAATCAAGTACAAATGGTCATTAGCAGTGTGTGCGACATGATTATCCAGAAGAATCTACAAAAGGCTGGTATGATGTGAAGGCAGCCATATCTATTATATTGTCTATGTCTCTTAGCATGATTACTGTATTTATGGTAGTTCCTACGCAGTTAATTAACAGTTTACATCGAACATGGATGTATTTACTCTAAAACGTCATTTTTTACTCATATCTTTTACGTTTTTTAAATACAGTTATTACTATTGTAATATATTATGTTATACTAGATAGATAGATACTCAAACTTGAAAGGTCAGATGATACGGTCAAAAATTGTTGGGAATTTGTTTGAAAGTGTCTTATTACATCTTGTTTTATAATTTTTTGTGTTTTTTATTGAGATTTAACTGTTTTTTGGAAGGTTACATGTTTTCGTGGTGGGACTCAAATATCTTATGAAATAGTCAGTTTTTTGAATAGAAAGTCTAAGAAAAGTTATAAAACAACGTATTATACCTACAAAAACATTTTTCTAAATTTCGTAGCTAATTTTATAGTTTTTTAAAATTTCAGGTTTTCGTGTTGGGAGCCACATTTTTTAATATTTACTATTTTGAAAGCTACCTTTTTGATAAAATAATTTGTTTTTATTTAAAAAATCATAAAATTTAATTTTTTTTATAATTGTAGGCTCACTGTAACAGATTTAACAACTTCTTCTTAGGTCCCACCACGAAAACTTGAATTCTTATATTTTTAATATATTGGAACAAAATTGGGTCTACAATACAAAATATTACTCTTTTAAAATAATTTTGTTGATTATTTATTAAAGCTTTTTCTTTTTTACATTTAAAAATGATTTTTCAGGCCGGGTCAAAAAGAATTGATCACTTTTCCTATACAAATACATTGAAAAACGTTCAATTCTTTTTGAAGCGGCTTAAAAAAACTTTAAAATGGTCTTTTTGAATTCATTTTGTGACATTTTTTAATGTTATTGTAGCTTCTATACAACATTTTACATTTTTAAATCGAATTTCATTGTCAGATCTCAAAAACATTCCCGTGACCGGGTCTCGACCTTCACCCCCATCTATCACAATATTTCACTTTATCTCTTTCTTCGTTAACACGGTGATTGTATTGTCATTTTAATCATGGTTTTTGGAAAGAACTCGTCCTTTTTTGCATATTGGTTTTGATATTGTAGCACAAAGTTTTATTTTTTTTGGAAGTTTAACGCAATAAACAGAATATCTCGGAGGTAATGGGGATTACTGCTCTACCCGGCCCTACCCTACCTTAGCCTACCTATTTCTCTACAGATTTTCTAAGACTTTAAGTAATATATTTGTATTTTTATTATTATTGATTAAAACCCAAAGTTAATGTGATTGTCTGAAGGCAATACAAGTAACTTCTCCTTTGGTGGCTTCACAGAACAGTGAACTCGAGTACACATAGCTAAAGTGACCTCGTGAGCACACGACGTCGATACGGCCGCCAAACACTTTCTCGGCCTCTTTGTTGATACGCCGCTTTGAGATGGAAGAGTTGTCTGTCATTTCCTGGAATTACAGTACTATTAGTACTAAACAAGGTAAACAGTGTATGTTGTCAGTACCTATGATTCAGATAGTACTACCTTTAAATCTTTTTTCTAGAAAACGGGAAAAAACTTTCTTTACAAAACAAAAAGTAGCAAGAACTTTCTTTACAAATCTTAAAATAGCAAGAACTTTCTTTACAAATCTTAAAATGGCAAGAACTTTCTTTACAAACTATAAAATCGCAAGAACATTCTTTAAAAAACACAAAATGGTAAGAAGTTTCTTTACAAACTATAAAACAGCAAGAACTTTCTTTACAAAACATAAAATGGCAAGAACTTTCTTTAAAAATCTTAAAATGGCAAGAACTTTCTTTACAAAACATGAAATAGCAAAAAATGTGCCCCGACGTATAACTTGTACCCCGCAGACCGCGTTTTTAGTTTAAACGTATCAACCTTCAAGCACCACTCACCTCCAACATCAACTTCTTCAGCACCTGACTGTTACACTTGATGTCATCGTCGATGACAGCTACTGCTTCGTTTTCGAAAACTGGAGCCACAGTGCTTTGATCCACTCGTACCAGACTGTCGTCCTTAACACTTCCATCCACGCCAACTTCCTTTGAAAATGGGTCTGCTCGCTTTGTCCTTGGCTTATTCTCTTCGGCTTCGGCCAATTGCTCGAAAACGGCCAAACCTTGCGATGGGGTTTTGGAGCCTTGAACTGTTACCGGCTGCTGGTCGAGGGGTAGTCCGGTTAGGCGGGCACGCTAAAACAAGATAAAATGAAAATTTAAAAAATTAAAAATTCTTAAACCTAAGATTGAATTTTTAAGCTATAACTTCATTTTTAAGCCTAGAACTTCGTTTTAAGCTTCAAACTTTATTTATAAGCCTAAAATTAATTTTTAAGACTGAAAGGTCATTTTTAAGCCAATAAATTAATTTTAAGGCCAAGCTTCCTAAAACTAAAATATTATTAAAAAGCCTAACGTTTTCTTCTTAATCCTTAAATTTTATTTGTAAACCTAAAATTAATTTTTAAGCCAATAAATTAATTTTAAGGCCAAAATTGACTTTTAAGCCTAAATGTTCATACACCTAAATATCAACCCTCAACCTTAAACATGCTTCTCTTCACTTACAAGTTCAAGTTCATCAGCTTCAGAAGGCTTAACAGTTTTATCATGATAAGCTCTCGCTCCTCCACCACAACAAGGCTGAGCGGCTGGGGCACAACTTTGAGGACAACAGCCACAGCCACCACCACTGGCCGCTGGGAAAAGAAATGCTGATACTGGAACAAGTAATAGGGCTAGTAGGACTAGTTGGTGCATCCTGAAAAAAAAATTTAAAGTGGCTTTTTTTAATAAAAAATCCGAAATTTCAAAAAATTTTAAAAATCGATTTAAATTTTTTACCCTGCCGTGCTCTGCCCTACCCTACCGTACCCTATCTTACCTTATTTTACCATGCCCTACCATACATAAAAAATTTAAAAAATTTAGAAAATAACCCTTCTTTTCACCTGCCCCCTCCCCCTACCAATTAAAATGAAGTTCCCCTCCCCTCTTCACGTTAAACTAAAAAAAACGATGTAACCCATCTTCAACAAGCTTCTTTATACCCGAAACAAATTAGCTCCGTCTCCAAAAACGAAAGTGAAAACCACATGCCGTACGAGTCGTCTTGATCGTCTTATATAATACGTCAATTTTATGTTTCACTGATCTAATCGAACATGAAAATCGCCGTTCTTGACGACAAACTAGCTCCTTAGTTTACGATTGACATTTTTGTTTGACATTCCCAAATTTTTTGAATGTTATGAAGGTTAAAAGTGGCATTAAATGAAGAGTTTTTAATAAAAAAAGTGAGAAAAACTTGCTAAATTTGCTAAAAGTTGGATTGCGAAAAGTTACTGTAACTTTCAGAATACTGTAAAATTTAAAAAATTTTAATTTGGTATCGATAACAATATAAACAAGCTAAACTGCCTCAAAATTTTAGAGGCTTAGCTGTATTTTTAAAAAAGATATAATTAAAAATGGCATTAACTACAGAAAAATAAAATTGAAAATTTGAAAAAAAGTTGAGCCGAGGAAAATTACGGTAACTTTAAGATTACTGTAAAATTAAACACTTCTCATTATGAAATCGTTGGCAATATAAATAAGCTATTATTGTTCTAAAATTCAAAGCTTTAGCTAGTTTCTTTAAAAAATATGATTAAAAACGTCAAGAACCAAAGGGTTTTAAAAAATAAAGTTGAAAAGTTGGACTACGAAAAATTACTGTAACTTTAAAATTACAGTAAAATTAAAAAGTTTTCATTATGACACCGTTGGCAATATAAATAAGCCATAATGGCTCAAAATTTCAGAGCTTTAGCTAGCTTTTTAAAAAAGATATGATTAAAAATGTCAGTGGTCCACTATTTTTGGCTTTAAACTTCATTTTTCATTTTTTTCAATTTTTCTTTAAATCTAAGTTTTAAAACTAAAAAAATTTAAACTCAAATTATGATTCAAGTTCAAAATCAAAAAAATCATCCAAACCCCCACGGGTGAAATATCGCGTAACAACTCCCCAGCTACATATAAACCAAGACGAATCTCGATGAGCTTCTCGAAAGAATGGCGCGTACCGGTTCCGTCTCCAATTTTATTGTTGATATGGATTAATGAGTTTGTTGATGATCCAGTTTTCTCGCCATCCCCCGATGCTTTTTGTAGCGTCATGTCATCGGTTTTGTATGAAATGCCGTCTGTGACAGTTTTAATTGAAGTTGGGTTCGTATTGATGTGTTCATCAAGTCGGAAATGAGAAGGATGAGAAGGAGCTTGAGTTGGATTTGAAAATATTGTCAACAAGCAGTAGGTTTTCTGAAAAACGTTAAAATTTAGAAAACTTTAAGATATTAACATCGGCTGCCTATGTTAATATCAATTTTGATCAGCATGAAAAAACTGGCAACTTTAAAACAACAAATCTTGTTGTCACGCTTTGATAAGAAACTTCTGAAGCTCTAGAAACATAAATTATTAAATTCCATTCTTTATTTCATACCTAAACATTAGAAATAAGCAATAAAGCTTTCATAGCCCATGTTAATATAAAACCTGGTCGATATGTTAATATTCTTTTATTTAATCTCCCAACACAAGTTAACAAAGTAAAACCAGGTCCTACTCAAGCTTTTAAACACAAGTTTAATGCCTTTTAACCTCAAATTCATACCTAAGCATAAAAAATAAGTTATAAGCGCTTTATTGCATATGATAATATAAAATCAATTAAAATGCTGAAACGGTTCAAGGTAAGTACTCCAAGTGTATCAATACACTATAACAACATGCGAATCATTAGTTATAAATTGAGAAACTTTACTTTGAAAACTGAAAACCAACAATATTGTACATTTACTCTCTCCGAACACTGTGAATCACTCTTCAATTTCTTTAAAATTACTCCACAAAGCCTTGATCCTCTGGTGATTCAACATCCTCATCTTCTGGTAATCGATCCCTCACATCCGCATCTTCTCCATACTGAATCGAATTGTCGATTGTTAACAGCACCTCACTGATATTCTCTTCATCTTCACAGTCTAGCGTTACAAATCGTACTAGACCATATTCATCCAGTATTGAGGCTATTAGCTCGCTTAACAGGCGATGTTTCTTGTTCCATTCGGTTGCTTCTTGCTGAAATGTTACGATATTATGCTTTTGACACGTTTTATTGATCAAAAAGTATGTATAATCAACTTGAATGATCCAAAAACTTAAAATTTTTGGCGTTTTAGTACCTAAAATAATTTTTTTTTCAATTTCCTCCAAAACCTTTCTTCCTATTTTACAAAATCACAGCTTACACTATCCAGAAGAGCCTGTGCATTCCCCTCCAACACTCCTTCGATCCATTCTTTGTCTTCTTTTTGCATCATGTCCATCTTCGATATGATAGACACAGCTGGTGTTTCCAATGATACCATTGTAGCCAGTGTGGTCAAAGCGCCAGCTATAAACTTATCAGCATCTAATAAGAATTGCGAATCCAATAGAAACACCGTGCAGACTTGAAATCCCCATTGTTGAAGACGTTCGGTGAGTTGTCGCATTACTGGTAGATGACTGTAGAGTTCGATTTGGCCGGGGCAGTCAAAGAGGAAGTAGTCGTCTTCTCCAGCTTGTAGCATCTCTTGTAGAGCGTCGATTTCTTGTAGTAGGTACTCCATACAAAAGACGAGGGCACCATTTGGGCCGAGAATGAGTTCTTCATCTTCTTGGACGTCTTTCACACTTATTAGGTCTCGAACGTCTAGAAAATTGAAATTGTAAATTCGTTTTTACTTTTCAAAAGCTTAAAAGATAAAATTTTAAAACGCTTCAAAAAAGAATTGAGCCTTTTGAGGTGCATTTATATAGCAAAAAAGTCCAATTACTTTTGGCGCAAACAAAAAAATGGTGGGCTAGCTTGCTTTTGTCATAACTTTTTTTAAAAACCTGATTAAAACTTGAAATTTTGTAAGATTGTAGATCATTCCTATAGGCAACTAACCCCTAAACCTCATTTTAAAATTCCAAAAAGTTTAAAAGTTACGATAACTCTTTAAAACTTTTTTCATAAATTTTTTCATTTTTTCCTAGATTTCCTTTCTTTTCTGCCATTTTAAATCTAATATAACATCTAATACCCCAAAAAACAAAATTTCATCATCTTCAAGAAAAGTATTGGTATAATCTACATAAAAAAATTCGTCTTACCAACATCAGGTTGATATTTGAAGTAATCTGCGGCCGGATCCAAATTACAGATCATTACCGGTCGATTCGCAGCTCGACAATGCTCTTGAATGGTGTAGCAATATGTGGATTTGCCACTGCCAGCTGGGCCTACTACTAATTGGGCGTATTTCATCCTGAAATGGGATATTATAGTACTAAAATATCAAAAAAAAAGACATAAAAACCATAAAAGAAGCAAAAAAAAATAAAAAATAAAGCAAAATCTAAGTATTTCAAAGTCAAATAACTTCATTATCAGTTAAAACATGTCTATAAAACAATAATTTATTCAGTATAACAATTGTATCAATAAAAAATGCCATAAAAATTCAAAAATCAACAATTTGTCTACTATAATATACCCGTATAGACATTATTCATAAAGTATAAGCCATATTATTAACAACAACACCTGTAAAACCCTTCTTGACATCAATATCGTCTTTTAAGGTTACCTAAAATTCAACTTCTCAACCATTTTTAAAAAACATCATCAAAAACCTCCAAAAACCTAACTTTTTAGCTAATAATCGACCTTTTAACCATAAAAACTCCCTCTTCTATACAATTCTTGACCTCAAGCACAAGATGGACATATCTGCAGACTCCTATGTATCAGTTCATTACAATCTTCACAAAACTTCTCATCACATTTTGGGCAAGAAAAGCGTTTTTCTGCCATTCCATGACATGCATAACAAGATCCGGCTTCAGAATCCTGTTTAAAGTCGTCTAGTTGAAGAAGATGTTGAAATGTTCTTGCTAGTTGAGGTGAGGTTATTAAAAGTACGCCACACACTCCACATTCGACTGGAGTGCTACAGAAGTGAGCTCCACATTGAGCACAGATATAGGCTTGTTCTAGGTCGGAAAAGTCGTCGCGGTGGCTGAAATAAGAGGTTTTAGTTGCTGAAATGATTCAAAAAATGATAAAAATTGTATAGCCTAAAATAATTTTAGTTAAAAAAACAATTTCAGACCAATTACCTCCCTATACCCATCAAAAACAACAATAATAAACCTATCAAAGCCCATTATACTTACCAAACACAAACCGGAGGCTCAAAAACAACATCCCTAACTGGAAAACAAACTCGAATCAAATTGCTTTCGGATTCTTTTGGCAAAACGACTGGCTTTATGTAATCATCCAAGATTTTCTTATAATGACCTTCATCAAGTACAACATCACATCGACCATGCGTTACAGATGACATTTTACGAAATACGAACAATTCAGCACATAACCCAATTGTTGATGCTCTAATCTGTTGTCGTTTGAGGTCCTGAAGTAAAAATTTAAATTACAAAATCGTCATGAAGTCTCAAAAAATTAAATTTAAAAAGCTTTGAAGTTTTAGCCTAAAATATTATTAAACTTGCCTCAAATGTGCTAAAAATGTTGCCAGGGTCAATTGTAGCCAAACTACCGGATATTACCACTATTTCTCGACTTGCATAGCCGGGTTGAACGCTGAAATTAATAAAAAAACATAAAATAACAAGAATCTTTATGTTAACGTAGATATTATTAACAAACTTTAACATAACTCTTCAAAAGCTAAAGCATAACATATGAAAACTATTGCAAAACAAAGTATATTATCTGCTTATGCTACTAATCATACGTAAATTACATTAGATTTCCCTCCAGATCCCTAATAACCTTTCAAAAACTTATATTACCTTAGATCACTAGCGGCCATTTGGATAGAACTTTGTAAAGAAAACTCTCCAGTACAAGAAGCATAGTCCAAACCATTTAAGCACTCCAGTAAGGTCCTTGTATCACCTAAACATACAATATTCGAAACAAATAACTTACTTGTAAACGAAACCAGTCGATTTGGACGGCGATCTGTGCATAAAATGATCCCAATCTGAGCTATCGGATTAAATTGAAAGAATTTTTGCACAAAATCCTTCAACAACCGGATTGAGACCGAGATAAGTGACGGATACAAAGGTTGGGTTGATAACATTGCACTAGAGTAGTCCACTATTATACTCACGTATCTCATCTAAAACAATATCTTTGAACCTAATTTTGAAAGTGTTATAGCTCAATAACTTGTCCTTCTTGACCTTATAAGCTTTTTCGAGATTTGTATAACAACAAAAACTTAAATAGAGATAAATTAACCTAAATTCCAAACAAATAAAAGCAAAATTTGACTTACGACACCCATTTTTCGCATTTGCAACGGTTCAGAAGCCATATTAAAGTAGGATTAATTAAAACTAAATATTCTTAAAATAATAAAGCTTTATTTCTACTTGAAAATCTTCTTTATAGTCCTATTATTTACCATAAAAATATAGAGTAAAGTAATATTTTTCCGAAAAGAAATAAATTTCTTCACACCCTTTGCTGCGCCCGGCTTATAGAATTTCGCGCTCATTTCTGCGAACTGCGGAGCGATTTTATACGAAGCAATGTTACTCAAAAGCAAGATTTTGAAGAGGAATATATATTGTTTATGTTGTGTCTACTGTAACGTTAATCGTAAATTCTTCAAAGGTAAGTTTTTTTGTTTTATACGACTTAACATCAAAATTCAATAAATAATCAAGCTCTTTCGATTTTAATGTAGACCTTATATTGTATTAGCCATAACTTTTTTCAAAATGTAGTTAAGAACTAGAAATTTCGTGTAAACGTAGATTATTTATTTCCTCCACTATATTACCAAAAAAGCTTTCCAAATTCTGATAAATCTTAAGGTTACAACAATTTTACCATACCTATATTAACCTCGTTCTCTAAACGAATAAAAAATCAATAGTTTGCAGTTTTTCATAACGTTCCATCCAATTATCAATGAAACATTAGTTGTAATTTATTAAATTAAGATTTACAAGATACGAGACTAATAAATACACACAATAATATAACCCCTGAATTATATACTTTTCGTTTTTACTTCAGACGAAAACCTTAAATTCTTGTCCACGAAAAAAAATCTCGTAGTTTTATGTGATCCCTTTTTTTTGCCTGATTGCCGTCGGCATAAAAGAAAAACTAGAGAACGCACAAAATTATGAGAGATTTTTTCGTGATCAAGAATTTAAGGTTTTTCGTCCAAGGTAAAAAATGGAAAGTATATAATTCAAGGGTTATATTATGTTATATGGCAAATTTCTACCCGTTGAACATAGTGAGTTTTAGCGTTCGTGCCAAAAACAAAAAGATAAGTTTTAAGAATGCTGAAGCCAAGTAATTTGTTACAATAGTAGCACAAGTGATTTGATATTATCATAGAATAAGTCGTAAAATAAGTTGTATTTAAAATTTGGTCAAAAAGATCGTGGAATTTTGAGAAATCAGCCGAAAGGTTATCGGGGAGGGGAGAGGGTAAAGGGCGTTTTTTTCTTCAAGCTGTCTTTAAAATAGGTTAAAGTGGTCAAAAAGTTTATAGACCATTGTGAATCGGTCAAAAAGTCTTTAGAAATTCTTATCATTTCCATATCAATCCCTTTCGGCCCAGATTTCTTTTAATTCCCGATACTTTTTGACCGTTAGGTAGGGAAGTACAATTTGGTTGTTCAAGTAATTACGTGCCCCTTCTCAAAGCAAATTTTCACGGTTAACTGGATCATAATTATTTGAACAATCTAATAAATAAACCCAGAATAGCTGGTCTCAGTTTGTAGCTGGCCTAATCTCCTCCTTGGACTGAGGTCCGGCTCCATTTCGACCCTCGGGCTGAGCCAATCAATCCATTTTTGAATTCTAAACAAATTTCGAACTCTTCGTACAAAGCTCTGCCAATTCGCCCTCGGGCGATTTGGTTGTTCTCGATTGAGTTGAACCGTTTTCACTGGAATCAGAACGGCTTGAGAGTTTTGAGTGTAAGATGGTTCGCCGGTCGATAAAAGTGAACCACGTTTCGAGTCGGAATGGTTCCAGGATGGTACTGATAAGAAGTTGGGGCTGGCTGATTGGACTGATCTTCTCGCGCTTAAGGTGTTTGATACTGTCAGGGCGGAAGGCTGAAAAAATTTTTTGAAGATGGTAAACAATAAGATAACATAGACCTAAGTCTACCTTTGCCCTTCTACTCACCTCTACTATACCCTACTCTATTTTACAGTACTCTGCTCTACCCAACCCTACCTTAACCTACCCTATTTTATCCTAACCTGCCCTACCATACCCTATCTTTATATACTGTAACTCGGCCCTTACTTACCGTAACCCTGTTCTTATACCTACCTGACCCGCCCCTTTGCCTACCTCACCTTATTCTACCCCTACCGCCCAACTACACCCTTCATCACCCTCCCCACAAGCATACCTTCTCCTTCTCGATCTGTCCAATCCCACTCAATCGGCTGCTCCTCCTTCTGGCTAGCCATTCGTAGTCGAAACTGGACAAGGATGGATCCGTATCATATGAACTTAAGCACTGTGATATGCCCGTGCTCGGGCCGCCGTACTCGTCCGCGCTCAGTCCGTAGTAGACGCTGGAGCGGCGCCGTTGCTGACGCCGATTGAGTTGCTGAAGGTGGAGTTGTTGCTCGCGTTGCTCCCACCAGTCGCGGTTGTGTTGGTGGGTGTAGCGACGCCACGCCGGTCGCAGGAACGCTGAATTGAGGAACAGGACGTTGGCGTGTCGGCCCAGAAATGAAGCGATCCCATTCCGTTTGGCTGGATCGGTGGGCCTGGAAAGACAGGAGTAGGGTGGGGTAAGGGAAAGAAATGGCATGGTAGGGTAGGGTAAGGTAAAGAAACGGGTATGGTAAGGTAGGATATGGTAAAGGAAGGGCATGGCAGGGTATGGTAGGGTAAAAAAGAGTATGGTAGGGTAGGGTAAGGTAAAGAAAGGGCATGATAGGGTAAGGTAAAGTAAAGAAAGGGCATGGTAGGGGTAGGGTAGAAGAAGATATGGTAGGGTAAGTTAAGGTAGAATAGCTCACCTTGTTTTATGGCCGAAAGCCCAGTCAAGGAAGCGCGAGCCTGTTGGAGCCGGAGATGGGACCAGGGGTGCCGTGGCTGGGTGTGAGGGTCGTCGCTGGTCGAATACTGACTGGTCGGTAACATAGAGCCCGTCGTTTGTTGCCGACGCATCTGTGAAAAAGGCCGACGTCGCTGGCTGAGCGGTGTTGCGACGTTCTGAAAATGGCAGGTTATGGCCGTTCTTGATTCATAACATAGGTTGACATTAAGGTAGGTACGTTAACATATGTTGACATTGATTTATATTGACGTACATTTAGGTTTTGGACATTTGACAGCTTATGTTTTGATGGTAACTTAGCTTTACATTGAGGTATCTATGATAATATACCATAAAATAGGTTAAAACTGACATTTTGACTAGCTTACAGTAACTTTTAACCCTTGTAAATACTGTAACTAAAAATTTGACATAATGTGATCAATCTACAGTAACCTTTAAGACATAGTGGACATTTTACAGTGTAAAAACAAAAGGTGAAGTTTGACGTTCAACATTGAGGTCAGTGAGGACACATTACTTACTACTATAATGTTCATATGAACACAGAGAAGAAGGTACTCCCAGTGTCAGTTTTGTAGCTTACAATCGATAAATGACGGCCTTAATTTAGAGGTTTTGAGTATATTTTTTGATGATAATGTAAAATACGTCTGCAGTTTGTGGTACTAATAACTTTTTTTTAAATTTTGGCCATACTACCCTGCCCTACCTTACCCTGCCCTACCCTTCTCTACCTTGCCCTACCCTACTCTTCTCTACCCTACTCTACCGTACCTTATCTTATCATGAGCTACCCTATTTCACCCATACCACTACATATACGTCTTCCCTTGCCTTACGATACCGCACTTTAAACTATCATATAGAGGTGAGAAACGGCCAGGCCCGGGGCCCAAGATTTAGACCCGGACTGTTTTCATTTTTCTCTCCCCCCCCCGGAAAAATCCGTCGCGACGCCCCTACTTGTCTATCATTAAAACAGCCTGAAGTACCGCATCCCACATGTATGCCCCGTACTCCCAACCAAGTTAGACTTTAGCTTACTTTGAATTCACCCTTCCCCAACCTATAAATATCCTTACCCTGCCCAAACCATGCCTTATCCTACCCCCCCCCCTTTAATGCTTATAACATCTTTTTAAAAAATTTACTTTCATTAGCTAAACCTTTTAATAACCAATCCAAAACCCACCTCCATGGCGTAGTTTTGGCGGATCAGCGAGCCGCCCGACCGACTTTTGTTTGCCGGCGGCCTGATGGGCTTGTGCGGCAATGACCCGGATCGAGTCGACAGCATCGTGCTGATCTCCGTCTGATCGTCGGCGGCTGGGTTTGGAGGGATGGCGTAGTTTTCGATGGGAGGGGAGATGGTGTCGGAGTTGTCGGGTTCGGTAGGCGCTTCGACCGGTCGAACGTTGTTTTGAAAGGCTGAAAATTGAAATTTAGTTTAAAATTTTAAAGGTTTAAGTAAAAAAAAGTAAGCTATATGTGTCATCAGTACATTAAAGTTGATAAAAAATGTATTATACTTGTAAGGTTACATATACAATAAGCTTTGGCACTAAAAACATTGAAAAGTAAAGAAAAAATAGCAAAACCACGTGCTTTCCATAACTTTAAAAAAACAGATAGAAAAGCTAAAAGAACACCATTAAAACACCACAGAATACCTTACAATAAGATCAAGCTTATAGAAAAATTAAAAATTGCATATTCAACATCATTTTAAAAGCTAAAAACGGCCTTAAAATCAAGACAAGCACCCTGAAACACCACAGAATGCCCTACAATAACATCAAACTTATAAAAAAATCAAAAATTACATATTCACCACCACATTGAAAGCCAAAATCAAATAGGAAAGACCAAAAATCAGATCGAAAGTATAGAAAAACGTTCTTAAATCACCAAAAATTACTTTACAATAACATCAAACTAATAGAAAAACTTAAAATGCTATACTCAACCCAGTTTAAAGCCCAAAATCGGGTTCTACCCGGCAAATCCCTCTACTACAACATGAAAATATCACAACGTCAAAAAACAAATACAATATCAGCCACAATGGCTACTACAATATCAATCACACCAATCATCGAGAAAAAAATACAACATCAATCACAATGTCTACAACAATATCACCCACAAATCTACTACAATATCAATGACAATACCCTCAAGATCCCCATAGACTTCATCCAGTCGTAGCACAGGTTCTGGACATGAATCGCTACAATCCTTCAACAGCTCTAATCTCTTCATCTCTACAATCGCATTCTCCACCGTCGGCCGGCTGTGAGATCTGTAGACGGAACGGCCGAACTGACTTCTTTTGGAGTTTCTACTCTTTGTTGGTGATGTTGAGGTCAGTAAAGCAGCTACAGCACTAGCTTTTCGCCTACGTTCACGTCGTTGAGATGGTAGACGGAAAGAACGGTGTTTCTTGCTGTACTTGGACGTGCTGTTGTTATATTTGCTCGTACTGTTGTTGTACTTGCCCGTGCTGTCTTTGTACTTGGCCGAATCTCGGTTCTTTGAGTTACTATAGGTGTTATTGGCCAAACCAAAGTTATCTCTGGTCATACCATAAGTCCCCTTGACTGTGCCAAAGCTATTTTTCCCCATATCACCATGCTTCGTATCTTTACTACACCTCTTCAGGAACTTATGTCCACTGCTCCTCCTCTCCTCATTATCTACATCATCATCCACTCTAACTAATGCTGCTGGTGCTACTTTCAGCGCGGATGCTAGGCCAGGTGCAGCACCAGTATTAATAGCACCAAAGAGTGTTGAGGCCCGTCGATTCTTTGATAACTCCTCGGTAATCGCCGTATGTTGAGTTATCACAGTCGATGACTGCATGTTGCCGACAACAATCGCCGGTATCCGACGTTGCGGCGACAGATTGCGCTGCGATTTTCGTCGCTTTCGTCGCACGGATGAGTGGATCACGGACATTGACTGATTCCGCCTCCGGGCATTCTTGTAGGTACGGGTGTTAGATAGACAACAACACGATCCTAACAGACAGGCCATGAAGATGTGATAGAGACGCGATTTCCACGGCATATCCGACCAGTATTTGCGTTTCCGTTGCCCTAACAGTTGCTCCGATTGTTGTTGATCCAACATTTTTAGTGTGTCCGACAACTCTGGTTCGTCATCTTCGTCGTCACCACTAAAATTTGACATTAAAATTGCACTGGATCTAAGGGACCTAGAGTTATATGAACCTAAACCTGATAACCTAGAGATATATTTTTTACCTTGCTGCTTAGAGCTATATACTTTTATACCTTACTGCCTACAACTATATAATTTTTGTACTTATTGTTTAAAATGACAGTTTTTTACCCTACCCTACACTACAATAGCCTACCATTTCTACCCCACTGGTCAGGGTAGAGTGGTGTTTGGCATGAGGAATCGGGCCTGGCCTGAGTGTTAGGCCCAGCCCGATCAAAATTTTGATCAAGTGCAGCTCGACCTCAATTTGGGTCAAGGCTGGCGCGGTCCGTTCTTCATGTTTAACACCACCCTAACCTGACCTATACTATCCCGCCTGGCTCGACCCTATTTTGCCCTACCCTACCCCATCCTGACCCGCACTGTCCTACCCTGCCATGCCCTTCATGACCTTGCCCTATGAGCTGAAAAAACACAATTTTTCAAAATTCGTACTTGTTTTGATAGAGTTATGACAAAAAAAATTTACATTATTTTTTGACTAGATACTGTAATTTTAGTAAATTCAGAAACCTTCACCGTGCATTCCGAAATATCATATCACCAACTATCCCATATTGATAAAACTACTTATAACCAAATCTAAACTACATTTTTTAGCTGTGGTTTGTAGGCCAAGTGGTTAGTGTTGAAAGTTGTTAGCTGTTTCGTGAGTTTTTGAATTTGGTGTTAGAGTTTGGATTTGGTTTGATTGGATACAAATTTTTGAAAGAATTAAATATGCGAAGACTACAAAATGATTGTTGCAATAGTTGTGTGTGTAGGATAGAAATGAGTAACCTAGATAAAGTTTGACCAAAGCCTAAAATTAAAAAGAACCTAGCCAAAAAAATATAGAGTAAAACTCCTGTAAAACGAAGCACTGAAAGATTTGAAATTTGCTCGTTATAAAGAGCCTTAGAAATAAAAGAGTTTTAAATGCACTGTGCAGTTTTCACCGAAGAGTTCGTTGTACTGGAGTTTCACAGTAGTAATTTTCGTTTTAATAAACAAAAAAACGGTATTTCGATTGGGAATTGTGGCAAGTAGTATTACAGCGAAGCTCCAGTATATCTAAATCCTATTACATAAAGAGTTCGTTATATACAGCAGCTACACTGTACGATATCTACTTTATGATGTTGTAATAGACAATATATTGATATGATAATAAATCCTAATATCATGATGATAAACAATTTCCTAATATGACAATAGACAACCGAGAAAAAACGAAAGAGTCGAAACAAAGGTTTTGTTAAAATCATATCGTTCTCAAGCCAAAACCAAACGCATTTGTGTTAAATTAAACTGAAGCTAACTCATCATCATACTAAACTAAGCTCGAAATCAGTTAGATCAGTGCAATTTCGTCCGTCAACATAGCGTTACAATCAACATTCAAAAAAAACTTGAAACACACAACAATCAGACAAAAAATGTTACAGTATCAAGCGTATGTTACAGCAGGCTGGGACAGGGAGATCGGGAGGAGTAGGGGTATAATAGGGTTGAATATGGTAGAGTAGGAAAGGGTATGTTAAGGTAGGATGGAATAGGGTATATGGGTAGGGCAAGACTAGGAATAAAGGTATGAGTACGGGCAAGGGTAAGTGAATGGGGGTATTTATTACAGTATTTCCACGTTTGATACAGTAACCATTACAAAATAAATAAAATACGTCAAAGTAACATAAGTATACCAAATAAAAACCCATATAAAACATAAAAATGCCAAAAATGTCATAATAACAAAATTGAAAAGTGCCAACTTAAAGTAATAGAAACATATACAAGTCAAGGTAATCAAAGAAGATAGATCTTTGTTCCAATCAAGCCAAATATCGAGGTAAAACAGCCGGAAAAAAACGTCAAATACGGTAAGTTAGGATTAATATTACTGTAGAGTGTTGTTGTAAAAGTGACACAAATTTTTAAAAATTAGGCTGAAAAATAAATTTGAGGCTTAAAAATGATATTTAGACTTAAAATTGAAATTTAGGCTTAAAAATGAAATTTTAGGCTTAAAATTGAAGTTTAAGCATAAAGTGAAAGTTAGGCTTAAAAATTAATTTTAAGCATAAAAATAAAATTTTAAGCTTAAAAATGAAGTTTAGGCTTAAAAATGAAATTTTAAACTTAAAAACAAAATTTTAGGCTTAAAAATTAACTTTAGGCCTAAAGTTAATTCAACAACAACAACTACATGGTAAAGTGCAGGTTAGTATAACGGGGACAGTGTTTTGCATCGCATATATTATGTTACACTAAGCCCAACAGGGTAGAACATTGAAAACGTTTAAAGCTTAATAGATCTTACAGTAGCGTATTGTATGTACAGTATGTCATATATGGTAACAGTATGCCTTATATTGATAGTAATACACAGTGTCGTGCTATATAGTACCATACTGTATAGACCATATAGTACTATACTATATGAACAACACAGTACAATACTATATGTAGACCATTTAGTATCGTACTATATAGCACTAGTACTATGCAGTACCAAGTCATGACATACTATATAACATTCATACTGTACAATACCATGTCATAAATATCTTATGGCTAATAAAATGTCATAAAAACAAGGTAAAATCAAATAACATACGATGTAAACCACAAATCTGATAACCTACCTGTAAGGTGTACAATGGATCAAAGAGAAGAACAACTGGAAGAAGACGGATCGGAACTTGCGTGACATTCCAACGTAAATAAAGAAGCCAATGGCTGAGTTCAGCAAGGATAGGAAGTCCATGAAATCGCCCAGTGGTTGATATATCTAGAAATTTGACATTAAGACCTACCCTTCCATACGCTGTCCTACCCTACCTTACCTTACCCAATCCAACCCCACACATCCCTACCATACGCTACCCCTCTCACAAATCTCCAAAACTTACAGTTTTTTTGAAAGTATCGCTTGAGAAAATACCCGTCATGACCAACATAACACCTTGTGGTAGTTCGGCAATTAAGAAAATACTGAGTACAGCCACCAGCATGGGCGTGGTATGATCCTTTGGCACTTTTTTCTTCATTACTTGAGCCAAATTCTTTCGTTTATTCGAAACATCGGCAATGATTTTTAAAAGTGCTACGATGGATACAGTGAGTAGTAGACATGGTACCACTTTGAAAATCATGCCGTTTGACCAAAATGCCATCTGAAATGTGGGGTTTAAAAGTGAGGAAAAAAATTTGCATATTCTAAAAGTTTGATTCAATCCTAAGTCCAAAATTCGACTTTCACGCTTAAAATTTCAATTTTAGAAGTATTTTTGACCTGAAGGATAATATTTTTGCTTGTAAAATGTTTAATTATTCTTTATTTTTGTTTTCATAACATTTTTACTGCTTTTGTACGTAAGCATAACTGTATTACAAGCAGATTTGGCTTTCTAAGTTATGTTTTTCATTGTTTTTTTATTGTCGTAGGTAATGTTGCCTTCATCAACTAAAAATCGCCCATACGCCAGTGCTTTCTAATTATAAATGCTGAACTTTATATTCAAAAATTGCGCATTGATGTATTTAAACTTTTAAACATCAAGAGCACTATTAAAATCGCATAAGAATGAAGTTTTATCCGATATTATCCATGACATCAAAACAGTGTGCCATGGATAATATAAATCTGTCTCAAACACTTTAATGCCCCAATAAATAACTTTGTTTACTTTTAACATGTTCTAGACATCAATACGCAACTTTTAAATCCACAAAGTTGGACATAGCATCAAAAATAAACAAGTTATGTGATCCGATATTATCCATGACACCTCTTTTCAATGTAAACCATAAGATGAGCTGTCATTGCCTTCCGTATACCTAAAAGTAAGACAAAAACAAAATAAAAAAGCTCACCTTGAATTTTTTGATGTATTCAAGCTGATCAGCATGTTCTTGTTGTCCAAAAAGTATCAAAAACTTTGATTACATCAATATCAAATTGAAAACAGAAGATTTGAAGACGCAAACTGCTTGAGCTTCTTTAAATTGCGCCGGAAAAGTGAAACAGCAGTAAAAGCATAATGAAGAAAACGGAAAAGGACAATTCAACACTTTACAAGCAAAAACATTGACCATGATTGTCAAAAAAATGTTTTTTTGAAAAATTAAAATTTTCGCCTCAAAAGCCAGCCTAAAAAAACTTACTTTTAGCTTCATACAATCCTTTTCGTGTGCCCGTAGAGTGTAAACCATTTTGGTTGAGTTGGCTATGGCATCTTCCATTGAAACGCCATCGTTTACCAGGCACGACATGAAGTATTCGGCTGGGATTTCGTCAATCTGAAATAAGACGTATCTTTGTGGATTTGATTTCAATCGGTCAAGAATTTTATGGACTTTACGTTAGTAAGTCGTATAAATTTATAGAATTTGCTTTAATCGGTCAAAATGTCCGAAGAAACCTGATATTTTAGTTGTGATTGTTTATAATAGTTTTAACCGGTCATAAAGTTTGTAGAATTGAGTACAAGCGGTCGAAAAGTTTCTGGAATACACATCTTTACCCATTCTCACTATACGAAATTTTGAATCGGTCAAAAAGTCGGTAGAACTCAATGGAAAAACTTAATTTTGGTCAAAAGAAGCCATTTCAAGGTCTTCTTGAGCTATTTTTGCCGTTTCTATAAACTTTTTGACCGATAAAATATTAAAGATAGTAAATCTAAAACGCCTTTCGTTTTTGTTTGTTACCTAATCTTATAAAGACCATTGATAACGCACCTCAAATGTCATAAAATTGGGCAAATTCACCGCAGCCATGATGATCAATGTTACAGTAGCCAAAATGATACTGAACTTCTCCGTAATTTGTGTTGTAGGACCAGCCGTAGCCCGTCGTATGGTCAATACTCGTATTTGAGCCAAGGATACAGTCAGCCAAATGGAAGTGGCATGACATATCACGGATACGTGAGCGTGTACCATGGTAAAGACGCCCCAACCGTAGCTGTAGTCTTCCAAATTGCATCGCGATGGTGCGAGTAGGTGAAAGTGGACTATGAAGACGAGGTAGGAGGTCATGACGAGAATGTCACAAATGGCTACGGCACAGAGGAGCACGTTGACTGGAGATATCATCGATGGTCGGGTGAGTACGATTACTGTAGTCAGATTCATCAGGGTACCTAAAAGTGCAGAGTTTAGGCTTAAACTGAAAGGTTAGGCTTAAAAATAAAATTTTAGGCTTAAGCTGAACTTTTAGGCTTAAAACGGAATTTAGGCTTAAAAATAAGAAAGCTGTCATAACATACCGACTATGCACAGAAACGTCGCCACATATTGGTGAATCTCCACGTACGACTGCCCGAATGCATTGACTCCATCCGTCAGCCATGTTATGTTTGGCAGTAGGATCGAGCCAATCTCGCAAAACTCGCCCATTTTCCGGTTCTACGTCATTTCTACCATCGATCTTCCATCTGAAACTTTTTTTATTAAAAAAAATTGTAAATGCGTTTTTAATCAAAGTAACGCGATTTTTCAAATGGGACAACCACCCTATATTAACATACCCTACCTTTCCCTACCTTACTTTACCCTACCCTGCCCAGCCCTACCCTACTTTACCTTATCCTGCAGTAACCCTACTTAAATCTGCTTCAAACTACCATTCCCCTACCCTACCTTACTCTAATTTTACAGTAAACAAGCGTTTTTTGATTTTTTTCATAACCTTTCCTAGCTTACAGTACCCCCAACCTACCCTACCATCGTCTCAGGTCTACACCACTAAAACCACCTCTTGTCTGCTTTACCTCAGCCCTTCCTTTAGTAAAACAACCTCCTGCCCTACCCAACCTACTATACTTCAAACCTACTTTTAATAAACCTTCTATCATGCCTTACCCCAACCCTACTTTTAGTAATTCTAGCCATACTCTAGCCTAATCATTAACTTATCATACTCCAGCTCTATTCTATGCTCTACTAAAAAATGTTTTAAAAAACTTCATCCCCCACAATCAGGGGCGTCGCTACGAATTCTGCAGTTCTCCGCGCGGTCTCTTCATTTCGCCACGTTCTCTCGCCTCTCTCTCATTTCTCCGATTTGAGGGGAAATGTCTGCGTCTCTTCGTATTTTCATTGCAAGTCTCTCCATTTCTCGCATGGGTAGAGAGGCGCGACGCGCTTTTTTCGCTCTTTTTCACTTGAGCGAGAGAGAAAGAAGACCCCGTGCGAAAAAGGAGAGACGACAGACATTTCCCCTCAAATCGGAGAAATGAGAGAGTGGCGAGAGAACGTGGCGAAATGAAGAGACTGCGCGCAGATTTGCAGCATTCCTGGCGACGCCCCTGCCCACAATATAAAAACAACCCAAATAACACCCTCGCAAAAAGGTTTTAAACCACTTGCCCTCAAGCCTTGTGTTGAATATAAAACAGAGTCCAAAATAACCCGGAGATACTATGAATAATATAATTAAAACTTTTGTTTCCGGCCAAAACAAATGCAAAACCGAGGAATGAAGGCGGCTAGTTCAAAGGTTGGGTTCGACAATTACTCGTTCAAAGATTGCAATATCTTCCGTATAATTAAATTATGGAAAAATATGAAAATCTGGAAACATTTCAAAAAGAGTTTTTTAATTTTTTAAAATTTTTAAAAATATCAAAAAAGAAAGATAAAAAGACTGTAAAGCAACATGGTACAATCAAGGGTTTGGGTACTGTAGGGTAGTTTAAGAATAGAAAATTGTCATGGTACTCTATAGTAAAGTTACTGTACTCTGTCGTGGAGTGAAGTTACGGTAACCTCAGATAAATTTATTGTAGGATTTACATCGTGTTACAATAAGCCTAAATAGAAGTAGGGTTAGTGGCGAGCTTTTAAGTAAGGGTATTAGCAAAGGTATGGGTAAGATAAGTGTATAGGCATGAGTATAGACATAAATATGAGTATGGCTAGCGCTGCGTTAAAGTACGGCAAGGGCAACGGCAAGGCGACGCAAGACATGACTATGGCTAATACTAAGGCTAGAACTAGGGTTAGTACTGGGTCTAGTACTAGGGCTCTGGGCTAGGGCTGGGGCTCTAGGCTAGGGCTCTGGGGTCAAGCTCTGGGCTAGGTCTTTGAGCTAGAACTAGCGCTAAGGCTAGAGTTAGAGCTAGGACTCTGGGCTAGAGCTAAAAAAGCTCTCTCACTAACAAATTAAAAGTTTCACCCGCCCAACTTATTGTTTCATACGGCAGTTTTTAGGTACAACGAGTTCACGGAACAAACTTAATGGCCCAAAGATGAAAAAAAGAGGGGGAAGACAAGCATTCACTACCATTATTTACTTTCCTCCTCATATTTACATCCATGTAAAATGTAAAGATGGGGGAGTAGAGCATAATGGCAGTGAACGAAAGACGTCATAACATAGTAAAACTTCAAATTTCTTAAGACTATTGGACCAAACTTTAAATTTCCGTGAACTTTTGGACCAGGCTTTAAAATTCCCAGAACTTTTGGACTAGACTATAAATTTCCAAGAACTTTTCGACCGAACTTCGAAATTCCCAGAACTTTTGGACCAGACTATAAATTTCCAAGAACTTTTCGACCGAACTTCGAAATTCCCAGAACTTTTGGACCACACTTTAAAATTCCAAGAACTTTTAAACCAAAACAACAAAAACACCATTATTTTCCGACCAAAACTTCCAAAATGTGTTTATACCAAAGAAGTAAAATTTGTATATTATACCAAGGTTTTCGGTTACTATGGGTAGAATACTTGTATCTTAGCCTCCAAATAATAACACAAATTCGGACTGTTTTTCAACCTGTCACAACAGTTCCGGGAAGGCATATATTGACAAAATAAAACACTCTCCAATGAGTTGACACATCATAGGGACAAGTATTATACTACATCTACAAGTGCAACAAAAGTGGTGATCTCAAAAGTCCTTAGTACTTCTTCTTATCCTTAAGGTTGGGTAATTTAGAGTAGAATAGGGCAAATTAAAGTAGAGTAAAAATTTTTTAAAATTAAAGAAGTATCATTTATAAAATCATTTTTAATATAACAAATTGATTTTTAAGCATAAACTTCTATTTTAAACCCAAAAAATAACGCGTAAGCCTAAAATTAATTTTTAAGCCTAAATTTGATTTTTAAGCCTAAAATTCATTTTTAGGCCTAAATTTCATTTTTAAGCCTAAATTTCTCTTTTAAGCCTAAACTTGATGTTTAAGCCTAAAATTCATTTTTAGGCCTAAATTTCATCTTTAAGCCTAAATTTCACTTTAAAGCCTAAATTTCGTTTTTAATCACAAAAAATAATACTTAATCTTAAAATTTCATTTTTAAGCCTGAAACGTAATTTTTATGCATAAATTTCATTTTTAAGCCTAAAAAGTAATACGTAAACCAAAATTTTATTTTTTAGCCTAAAATTTGATTCTTTAAGCCTTAAATTCATGTTGAAGCCCAAAAAATAATTTAAACCAAAAAGATAAAATATAATTCTAAGCCCTAATTAAGAACCTTTTATTTTAACCAAAATTTTTTTTTTAATCCAGTAAAAAAAGAAAAAATGTGAATTTTAGACAGACCTTTGATTAAACGTCATCGAAGCGTTGAAGATGTCAGTAAATAGGGTAAATACTCCAAAGTTATGGGACTTTGGCTAAATGCAAAAACAAAACGGTTTCACTAGACCTGTAAAATTTTTTCAAGCCCAATTTTTTTAAGCTAAAAAATGTTTTTAAACCTAGAATTTCATTTTTAAGCCTAAGCTGTCATGTTTAAGCCTAAAATTTTGTATGTAAGCTAAAATATTCAGTTTTAAGCCAAAATTTTATAAGCTTAAAGTTTGGTACCTAAAACCTAATATTCATTTTTATGTATAAAATCCCACAAAATCATAAAAATTTTTTCGAAATTAAAATTTTTTTTGAACAAATCAACAGGGAGGATCAAGCTCAACCTTTTTCAAAAAAAATTTTTTTAACTGCTCTTCCCCAACCCTACCTATCTTCCTTAAATTTGTAAAGACCCTTATAACGAACAAATTTCAAATCCCCGAACAATTCGTTAAACGAACTTCCACTATATATCCACCATATATGATAATACAGAAGGCCGCGCTGATCGTTTTTACAAAAAAAAAGTACCCAACCTGCCTCACCCAAAACAATAAAAAAACAAAAAAAAATGTTTTGATACATGGTGGAGAACATGTCCCAAATATTTGACTCAAGTTGTTTTTTCAAATTTTCGGGTATTTTGCATCCGAAAAAGTGAGATATTTGACAAATTTGTTGGCAATATATATTCGGTCACGCACGCCCAAAAACAAGCCTGGCTAGGTTTATTTGAGCGATAAAAAGAGGTTTTTAATCAACTGTTTGCAGTTTTTATAGAGAAGAAGCAGCGTGACATTTTTGTTCATTTGGCAAGGAAATGAAGTCTTAGGCTTAGTAGTTAACTATATAAACGTATAGTTAACTACTATGCCTAAACGAGATAATCATACACATCGTTTTTGAAGTAGCAGGCGCAAATTTTTTTAGAGCTAGTGATATTTCAAGTCTAAACTTTCATTATTAAACATAAACTTTCACTTTTAAGCCTAAAAATTCATTTTAACCCCAAAATTTAATTTTTAGACCTAAACATTTAGTTTAAAGCCGGGAACCAAATTTTTGAAAATAACGTTTCAATTTTAAGCCCTTAGTTACATTTTAAGAAAAAATAGCCCAAAACTTCAACTCTAAGCCTAAAATTCATTTTTGTGTCTAAAAATCTATTCTCAAGCTAAAAATTTCATTTCAAAGCTAAAATTTCTATTTCTAAGCCTAAACTTAACCAAAACCCAAAAAAATTAATTTGTAAGCCAAAAGTTTGATTTTTAAGCCTAAAATGTATTTTTTAGCCTAAAACATCATTTTTAAGCCTAAAAATGTATTTTTTAAAGCCTAAAATGTATTTTTTAATCTAAAATTCATTTTTCAGCCTAAAATTCATCTTTAAGCCTAAAATTCATCTTTAAGTCTAAAATTCATTTTTTTAAGCCTAAATTAGTTTTTTAACCTAAACTTCTTTTCGAAGCTCGAGGAGTTCGTTATACAACAGCTTCACTGTATGACCAAAAATTTCAAATCCCAAAAATCACTTTTAACTCATAAAATCAACAAAATCCGTAACCCAACCCCCTAACCTAAAAAACGTCAAAAATCACGCGAATGATGACAATTGAACCTTGCTCTTGGCTAAAACACTCAGCCTAACTTATGCCGCACCTTATCCTCGAATGTCTTTTGTCTTTTCGGGCTTTGGCAAAGCCTTTTTTGGCGGAAATTAAATCCAGAAAAAAGATTGGGGAAAAGAAGAAAAACCTTGCGAATTTCGGAAAAAAAAATATTTTTAGTGGTGCGGAAAATCGGGGGAG